TATTTATACTTCTCATTCAACCACAATTAAATTCACTCTATCTAGAAGGCACAATTTATATGGAAAGTATTTTTATTTCAATAACAAGCTGGAATGAAAACAAGCAAAAATGAAATGAAAGTAACAACTTTCTATTTCTTGCCTTTTTTTAAAATATGAGTAGAGAGTACAGATAACGTGTGAAAATGTAAAAAGTAGAAGTAAAAAGTAGCTGAAAAATAATTACTAAAGTACGCTTGTCTGTGACCATTTAGCATAGATAATAGGCTACTTTCTGCAATAATTTGATCAAATGTGGTTATTGAGATATATTTTTCATGTGGAGAATTAGATTTTTGTTTTGTAAACCTGCATTTTATACCAACATTTTCAGTTCTGTATTATGCTTAGTATTAACGTTATGTGTATTTAGTGCTTGATTGCAATTTGATTTTGTTTTAAACTGAGTTGTTCTATTGCTGCCAGACATAAATGAGAAAAAGGTGTCCGTCTTGCTTGTAAAACATTGAAAAAGACAACAACTTATAGTAGACAATGTTTAACTGCATAAGAAACAATATTCAGTGTAACTGTTAACATTATTATCAACAAAACAAATATAATWTTTTTTTCTTACTGGGAAACATCCCAATAATCTACATTTTGTTAYAGGCTTCTGTTAATTAAAGGGATTTACGTAGCTGTCGACTGACAACATGGATCCAATGTAGCAAAGCTGAATTTTTTGTTTCTCCCTAAAAAGTGTTATTTCTTTCTATTAACAAGACACCCACATGTGATTTCAGCTCAGCCCAGCAGTTGAGTAATTCTCCRATTCACCCACACATGACTTATTTTGTCTGCTTTAAAATTTCCCGACAAAGTGTGTCTGAAAATGTGTCACACTTGAAAGTTGCACGACAAAGATTTGATCCCTTTTGTTTGATATGATGGAAAATGCAGTTTAAACCAAAAATAGAAACACTGTTGACTAAAAGGGAAGCAAGTTAACAGCTCATTGTGTTTCTGACAACTGAACAGGTTTTCAAGATAAATTAGAGGATTACATTACTACGTGTCACATACAGTAGGCCTACATGTGCAGAAATTAGAAACTACTGAGACGCAAGCAGTAAATACTTTAAGTTCAGATCCTTTGTTYAAGAACATTAATCTGTTGTAGAYAAACCTTTTAATTTTGMCAGGACTGACAAGCTRATGACTAGTCTGAATAKCATASTGGATTCCTAAAAACAACTTAAAACTTAAAAACACCAAATCAGCTCTTGTAAACACTAATTTTTAGGCCCTCACACTGTCATTTATTTTACATTATTTAATTAATCCAGCCATAATGTTCCATTATTCCCACAGGAAATGCCACCATCACCTGCTGGCTGCGGCTGCGATTTGAGCAAAGAACACTAAAAACCTATTTAAACAAGACAGAACTCAACGCCAACCATCTCTGATGTCCYCCCGTCACATGTGCAGAGTAAAAATGGCAAAAARTTACAAATCGTTGATCTCCTCGTGATATTGCAAGATCGCTTGTGATCCACAAACGCTCAGAGTAAGTGTTGGCACTACTCTAACTATAAAAAACCGTCAGCTCAATAGCTGACTGCCATAGGTGATGCAAGGTTCGGCTACGGTGGCAGCCATCTTGGATCACATGACCTTGCAAATGTCACAGTAGCGACCAATTTTTAGCAGTTTTGTTGGAATCGTCACAGGCCTTCGTTATTTAAAACATCTCAAAAGGTGAATGGACGGATGGAGAGCATGTCCCCCGCTTCGGCTACGTAGGCCAAGTGTAATGAAAATCAAAAGTGTTGTAAATGTTTAAAAAACTGTGTTTGTGTGAATCATTTTGACATTTTGGTTGCAGAACATTCCAGGTGCTTACCTGATAATTAACAGGTGAGTAGTATCCATCCGTCCGTTTTCTTCCACTTATCTGGGGTCAGGTCAGGGGGACAGCAGCCTAAGCAGAGAGACCCGGACTGCCCTCTCCCCAGACACTTGGGCCAGATCATTTGGGGGAATCCCAAGGCGTTCCCAGGCCAGCTGAGAAACATAGTCCCTCCAGCGTGTCCTGGGTCTTCCTCTGGGTCTCCTCCCAGTGGGACGTATACCTGGAACACCTCACCAGGGAGGCATCCAGGAGGCATCCTAAGCAGATGCCCGAGCCATCTCAACTGGCTCCTC